TTGTGCAATGAAACACTTTATCCCCCCCCAATTTTGCTGCTGTAGACTGCAAATTTCCCCAGTGTGGGACAAATAAAGGTGATCTTATCTGATCTTATCTTAATACATACTTTGCTGGCTTTCTGTTTGCAGATATTGATAGTACTGACCTATTGGGAGCTGCACACACCTCTCACGGCACTTTTTCAATTGTGACTGCACAAACAAGTTGCCATGTAGCTGTCAGTGAGTCCAACGGTAATCAGCTCTTCTTGCTACAGTCTTACTCCAGCCTATCAGTGTAATTTTCCTTTTCTCGAGGGTAAGCTGTGGGGAAAAACACTTGAGGTCCTTTTAAAAAAAAAACAACACCAACAACTGTTTTTAATAATAGTTTACCTAGCGCTGCAACTAATGCTCATTCTAATCCGATTCATAGTTTTGTCGGGAAATGCAGGACCTGGTACACGCACTGCTTTTCCCGCTGTCTCCGAGTAGTAGTTCCGATGATGATCACGTGATCACTTCGGGTCATTCCGGGAAACAACAATAGATTGACGCCATCCCGGGGCAGTGAACGGATGGTTTGGTTGCCGGCTTGGCAAACAATTACTGTGTTTTCTGGAAAAGTCCATTCATCGAATTTAGTGATCTCAACAAGTGACAGACAAATATGTAGCGGCGCCACTCGAGCGAAGTGCGCCTCAGCAGCCGATAGTCTGCTGCTCTCTGCTGTGTGTTCGTCGGCTAAACGTAGCTGTTGTCTCGGCTAGGCTAGCTTTTTGTTGTCGTAGATCTGGCTAATCTATTCATCGAATTTAGTGATCTCAACAAGTAACAGAGAAATATGTAGCGGCGCCACTCGAGCGAAGTGCGCCTCAGCAGCCGATAGTCTGCTGCTCTCTGCTGTGTGTTCGTCGGCTAAACGTAGCTGTTGTCTCGGCTAGGCTAGCTTTTTGTTGTCGTAGATCAAAGCGTATTTGATTTGTGACGTCGGTTGCTTGGTTGAAACCAAAAGACGTGCGCGTGCGGTTTGCATTAGACAACTTCCCGTTTTTGTAGGCGGCTTATTAGGCACATCTAGAGTGTCATAGTAAAACGCTGGATCACGGTTTTCTATCACATTCAATTGCATTGCCCGCAATTGTCATCTCCTTTTTATTTCAATGCTCCCTGCTTGCAGCGGTACCGATGCTAGCCCCAATTTGCCCAATCCATCCCTTCCTGACAAATTTATCAGACAGTCTGGAACATATAACATCGTTAATTGGCATGATTCCCCCAACGGATCTCCTACCCATAACGGTTTCATTTCAGGTACAAGAGAAACACGTCCTTCGGCTGTCCTGACAAGTACCATCCTCCCTGATAAGCCGCTTCCCGGAAGTACCTCATGTTTTTCTACACCAGGGGTGGCAAACTCGCGGCTCGCGAGCCACATGCGGCTCTTTGGCCGGTTCAATGCGGCTCCAGGGCTTTCACACAACAAGCGTTGAAAACGCCTCAGCAGTGGTGCTGCCATTCAAAAAATGCGCTAAAGACACAGAACATACTACGTCAGCCTATCATCAATACCGTTACTTCATTGACAAAGAGGTTAACTAATCAGATGACTGAATCACTGCTCATGCGCAGACAACAGCACTAAGTGCTTAGTGCTAAGCTAGTCAGCCAATTACCTCTGATTTTAAGGCAGGGGGCCCCAAACCGTCAACCGCATCAACCGGGAGCCAGCAGACTGGTCCCAAGTCGACTGCAAGGTGTGGGAGGAGGAAATGGGTGGGAAAAATATATATTTTTGTGTTTGTGTATTCAGGGTTCATTTATGCTTGGGCGCTCAGGCTGTTGCTCGTCGCGGCATGCGTGCATATGTGCGCGAGTGCATGGTCGCGCGCGTGTGAGTGTATGCTTTCACATGTGCGATCGGGTCGATCGTGGGAAGTTGGTTGCTTCAAAAGTCGATCTTTGGGCAAAATGGTGTGTGTGTGTGTGTGTGTGTGTGTGTGTGTGTGTGGTGTGTGTGTGTGTGTGTGTGTGTGTGTGTGCGTGCGCACGTGCGAGGATGGGATGCCCATGTGTATGATGTGGCTCTTTGCAGTAACATGGTAAAAAATTTGCCTCTTCGTCTTTGTCTGGTTGGCCACCCCTGTTCTACACACTCCCGTGTCACACAAAAAAGTCATCCGTTTGCCTTTACAAACAATTTAACCTCGGGTGTAAATTTGTCCAAAGCTAAGACTCCATATACATTTAAATTGTCTTTGTCATCTTTTTTCCTCATTCACAACCTCCCCATCCTGAACATCATTTTTAACATGGGATGGGTCAAGTCATTGGGTTTACCCCTCCTGTTGTTGCCTTCTCACTCTCGGGCAATCTCGTGAAATGTGGCCTTTTTCTCCACAACACCAACAGGTGATGTCTCTCTGTCTGAATCCTCGTGAATTTGTCCTTGGCCAAAATTCTATTTCGGATGCTAAAACCTCCCTCTCCCTCATCTGTTCTCCTCAAAGTCACTGATAGTTCGACACAGTGCTCCAAACATGCCCTTCTCTTCCCCCAATGCCGCTCAGTCATCTTTGCGCTTTTTTTCGTTGCAACACTCTCTCAGCATGCAGAGCATGGCTAACATACTCCTCAAGACTACAAGTGGGTTTGTTAACGTAGTATTTATCTATCCATTGCTTAATCGCATTGTTAGAATGTCCATGGAGAGCATTTTTCAATTGTTCCTGACACACACTGCTTGCAGTGTGATCCTCAGAAATGTCGCTGTTTGCTCTAAAGCAGGCTTTCATCCTTAATCGGTACTCTTCAAATGGCTCATCATCCTTTTGTTTCTCACGACCAATAGCAGTGTCATTGGGCTTACGCTTGAATTTCTCTCTAGTTCGATGTATCAAAACCCTAACACGATGCGTCAGCTCTCTGCTATCATGCTCTAACACATCACTGCATTGTTTTGGGTCCCAATCTCCCCTCACACTGTGCAAATCCCATTTAAATGCGGTCATCCACACTTGCTGAATTTCCACACCATTTAAGTGATAAGAATCTTCTGAGGTCTTCCACTTGCTGTAGAAATTCCTCAACATCAACTTTGTGAGATATGCCTTCTACGGCTTTTTTCACATCTTCCTGTGTCCACGTTCTCTGAACCAAGATCGTGGGCGAGTCATAATTTATATTTGGGTTGGCTACCTCGATCATGGGAAAGATATCATGTTCGTTATCCCCCCCTCTCTCAGTCCTTACAATTTGCGGAAGAAAACATTTTCGCCAAACCTTACACTTCTCGAATCGCCCCCTTCCTTGTGTATTTCCCCCACTGGCCCCGTTTCATAATCTTCCTCTCTATGAAACAGAGTTGCGGTCTCTCTTTTTTTCCACTTTCTCTTTTATTTTTCCCGTGCGTTGCTTCTGCGAGAGATCCAACCAAATTTCGGTATCCTCATAACCTTCTTTATTCATTTTCTTATGGTTATATTTCTTTTTAGCCCTTATTTTATCTTGCTAAGCAATTAATTGAGGGCTGAGCCGGCCAGCGAAGTCAAATTTTGTTATCCATAAGTTTTAAGTGTTCAACTTTTGATGGATGTTTGCTTTCCACGAATTTCCAATCCTTACAGAATCTTGTTTAGGATCCTTTTTATTCGATTTTTTTGTGTTTTTATTACCCATAACGGAGGTTGGGGTTCACCTGGGGTGACTATACAACCTTTTTACTCTCTGAACAGGGTGATGATTCACTGTTTGAGGTAATTCTCAGCCTTCTACCACACAGGTGCGACACAGGTGTAACACAGGTGCGACACGGGTGTGGCGAGGAATTCTTGCCTTCGCATCCTCAACAGATATCACTTGTAAAATCCTCTTTTCAATGGAGGTAGATCACCTCCCACACACACTCATTCTTTATTTAGATTCATATAATGAACGCTGAGACTAAGTACGTACAGGACACAGCCACCCTCACACAGTTTTATAGACTACTCTGTCTGTCCTTATCACTTGACATGAACGAGTATTCCCAAAGTTTTTCCCAGTTTTATAGACTACTCTGTCTCTTTTCTGCGTTTAATTGCGCAAGGGGCCACCGTGGCCCTCTAATTTTTAGACTCTCTCTCTCTCTCTTTCTCTATCTCTCTCTCTCTCATCAACTCGTGGCTCCCAGGCACGGAGTTGAGGTCCAGCCCTGTAAAAAGGGAGTTTCTTTGCTGCGGTCTAACTGGCCGTCTGCTCTGTGCTTGGAAACGTCAGGTACTTTGCGATCCTGCTCAAAGGACCAATTAAAGGTCAGGTTTATAACATAAATATAAATTGACAAGTATCAACTTACAACAAGGAAGAGAGGAGACGTCTCTTTGTGTTTTTTTTTTTTTTTTTTGGTGGGAGAGAAATAGCAAGAATGCTGCTCACAATTCTCTCAGCTGTCTTAAACAGCCCGCCCCCCATGCCCTCTCTTTTTATATGCTTTTGAGGTCACTTGGTTACATGTGGGTGAGCCCACTAAGGGGAAGTTTGGGGTAACAGCAAAACTGACCGCACCCTGACTTTCACTCCAAATACATGATGTCTAATATTTTATCAAGCCATTTTTAGCAAATGCACAAGCCTGATAAACACTTTTTTAATCTGCCAAAGTACTTTTAATACGTTAATTCAGCATATCTTGACAAATGCAGAAGGGTCTCCTCCCATTGGGTTTCTTCTTTATCTGGTCATCTCCTGGGCCCAGGAGGGTTCAGCACGTTTTGGTTCTCCTGTTTCATCACCCTTGCCACATATAAACACTTGCAAGCACACATTACGAATTATACTCTTTGAATAAAAATCCACAGCAAGCAGAATTAAACATTATCATCATCTTTTCCCTAAATTCCTCCATCAGTCCTCAAACGAGGTTTTCAGAGCTGTACAAAACAAAACATTCACAATGTATTAATGTTTAATAATGAGAAATCCATCCATCCATTATGTCAGACTAAAAAAGGAATATCTCACGCAATATAAATGTTTGAAAAAAATAATTGACATAAATGAACAAGACAATTACAAATCTTGGAAGATTCTTCAGAGAATTTGAGATTTTTTCATTTTCCAATGAAAACAAGAATGGGGTTGCAAACAGGAACACCTCTTTTGCCTTTTAAGCCAATATTTGAGGATTCCAGGCTGATTATGGGTTCATACTTCAATCGAAGCCATGTTCTAAATGAACATAAATTGTCACAGTGCCTTGTCCTCTGTGCTGGAGCCAACCATAAAGACAGACAGGCCGACATAGCTCTCCTTCTGTGCCGTGAACACTGAAGCTCCTGCTCGTCCTGCTTTTCTACATTACTTTGAATTGAGATTTGGATGCTTTCCTGGCTTTCTTGCTTCTTCTGCCAGAGGCAGTGGTCCTTTGTGGCAGTGGATTTGGTGACTCGTGTGGGATTCTTGCACGCGCCATCTGACTGGGCTGTGTGGTCAGGTTGGTCTGTTGAGTCCCGTTATTGACGATCATGTTTGTGGGCCCTTCAGCATCAGACTGTTCCATTGCAAAGTTGATAAACACCTATGTGATGGGAGAGTATAGTTTTTGTGGGTCATTTACATTTTGGGGAGAGGGTTCAAGTGGGCATGTATGCATACAGCCACGAGATGGTGCACAAGCATCTGCCCTTGCACTGTACATGTTGTTTTTTTCTTCATTCTATTCTAAATAAATTTAAAAAAAATCACAAATTTCACCCAAAAAGGTTAAATATCTGAATTGTAATTGTCAATATTGACAAATGACTGACCAATTGAATGTCTTTCACGATGCAATGTTAATAGTTGAACATGTGAAGATTTTTTTATTTTCTTTGGTCTCCGAATAGAGCTTTCGAAGCTGTACGAATTCAGCCCGATGCAACGATTATGCACCCTTGTCTAAGAGTGTAGCACCAAATTCTGGGCCTCCTTTCATAAGCATCTTGAAGTGTGTGTATTTCTATGTGTGTGTGTGTGTGTGTGTGTGTGTGTGTGTGTGTGTGTGTGAGAGAGAGAGAGTCAGACAGAGAGTCAAGGATAGGCTCAAGCACACCCTGAACTGCTTGCTAGCCAATTGCAAGGAACACACAGACAAACCACCATTCATGGCCATTCATGCTTACAATCACACATAGGGCCAATTTAGAATGTTCCATTAACCTGCCATGCATATTTTTTGAACATGGGAGGAGGAAAAAAATCCCTGCAGGCACGGGGAGAACATGCAAACTCCACACAGGAAGCCCGGAGCCGGAATCGAACCCTGCCTCTCAGCACTGTGAGGCGGACATGCTAACCGGTTTGCGCACCGTGCCGCCCACAAGAAAGTAGTACAAAAACAATTGAATAAAAATGCATAAATACATACATTAGCCTCTTCAAACAAATATTTGCGGGTCTCAATGTTTTAAAATGTAGCATTATCCAAATTAGAAACACCAGCAGATGCTTTTTTTCCCCAAACAATGCTAAATGAAGCTAAATAGTCTCAGCCCTTTATGATTAGCTAATCCTCAGTGGAACGAAAAAAGACATCGTTGATAAGACTTTAGTGTGGTAAAAAAACTATATATTTTTGGGTAAAAAAAAGAAAACACACAGATTACAGAAAAGCATGTCCGTCTGGCGTTGAGTGTCATGTTGTCTTCGCTAGCTTAACTGTTGTGTCGGCTAGGCTGTCTTAGCTGTTGTGGTAGATCAAAGTAAATCCTCGTACACGTTCGCGCTGACGCACACACAGCAGAGAGCAGCGGACTATCGACTGCTGAAGCGTGCTTTGCCCGAGTGGCATTGCTCGAAAGATGTAGTTAAAAAGTATTCGGAACCTTTCTCACTCTCTTGCTTTCGCAAGAGAAATTCGACCGGGGTCAATCCGGCCTCTACAGCGATTGTTAATACTGTGCATTTTGGTAACCAGTCGACAGCAAGTGGTATTGGCCAAATATTCTTAATAAAAGCTCTCCAAAAAAATATAGCCACTTCAGTGGTTTGGATTTAAAATAATGCTAAAAAATAACTTTTCTACAGTCAGGCAAACATAAATTCACCCAGGGAGAATGCAAATTGTACTAATTGTACCAACAAACATTTTGAATTTGAGATAGAAACAGATGTTAATGTTCATTCTGCATCAATGACAAAAATGACCACAGATTAAAAAAAATCAATTTTCGCTGTCCCGCAATCAGACGAGGGCTCGGGAAAACTAGGCCATTCCAGTTATCCAACTACAGTACTTTCATTAGGACCTGATGTTGCATTTCAAAATAAAAGGCCTGTGATATCTGCAATTTCGACCTTTACACCTGATTTGAAAAAATGGCAAGTATTTCAGGTAGTATCCAACCAACTGTCTGAAGACAGCTGGGAAAGGCTCCAGCACGCCCGCAACCCTCTTGACCACATATGTCAAAGTGCCGGCCCGCGGGCCATATCCGGCCCGCGAGAATGTTTTCAGTGGCCCCTGGGATGATACTGATTTATTATTAGAACCGGCCCGCGGACCGCAGCAAGCTGAGAGCCCGCAGATCTTTTACACGCACCAATACTACATTTCTCACAATGCAATGGTGACGCGCCAAGCAGTCGGCCATTTTTATTTAAATATTTATTAGTCTAGCAGTCGTTCCCATAACAGTGACATTAGCTTTCAGATACCCATCAAAAATGGCAAAACGGAAGGTGGACACTGAGAACAAGGTGGGAGTTGAAGTACGTGTTCATGGACGTAGCTGGAAAACCTGTGTCTTCTGTGTGGAGAAAGTGTGGCGCGATTGAAATAGTGTAATCTGAGACGACATCATGAAACGAAACACGCGAACAAAAACAAGAACATGGACATGGAGGGGAAAGGAGATTTCATTAAAAACGGTATACTTAAAGTTTGTGACGAAGTTTACCCCGAAAAAAAGCAACTCTTTTTAAACGTGAGGATTAGCAGAAACACAATTGCAGTGTTTCTGCAAAGATACGGCAGTGCGT